AGATCCACAATACAAACTACGGGAAAGAGACAACAACAGGGAAGGGAAAACAAATTGCATGTTTGTCTTGTAGTCCATGTCCAGCTGCAGTTCGTAGTTAGCTAACCAAATGTGTTCGGTTTTTTTTTGTCATGGGAGTTGAACCTTCAATCTAGAAAGAAGAAATTATCTATAAATTCGGAACCTATAACATAGATGATATGCATCACTTATTCAGTTTTTTATTTGTACACATTCGATTTTACGTCGTAAAATCTTCATATATCGAAATATGTGCCACTTAATTTATTTTATTTTTTTTTGCATTTTTTCAGCAAACAAGATTATATTGTATTTGATTGACTGACATATCTAAAGCAACCTACATAATATTTTCTCCTCACTCAGGTCGAGTCTTTCAATTGTCGTTCGTTCGTCGGTCCATATTCGGGTGGGCAGCAGGGCCTAAAATTGCCTCGAGATTCACTTCTAGCATCAAAGGAGCTCCAAATAGGTTGTAAGTAACCAACTCTGAAAAACCTTATACTGATGATAGAAAGCACCTTCTAGAATTTAGCATAGGTCACTCTAGCCTCCAAAAGTACCTTCTCACAACCCTTTTTAAGACGGTCCGATTGAATATCTGCGGCCCGACCCTGTTCGGTAAACCGAGTTCATTGCTTCTTCTTAGCCAAAACAAACACCCAATCCCGAAACCTCCCGGGTCGGCCCGTTTTTCCGGGGATCCTTCACCATCAATTCAAAATCACTAAGCCGGTAGTTATTGGAATCGGGCATAACTCGTGACTCTACCACGCTCTTTTAAACCGCCGCAACAGTTAAACCAGCCTCTCACAATTCGCGCCTCTGTAATCCGATTCGTCCGTCTTGTCAACGAGTCGGATACTCAGCAACCTTCCTTCTCCTCCACAACAAATTTTAAAAACCGGGGCGAGTTAGAAAAACGCCGTGACTCGGAGAAATGCTACCACTCGGTACCGACACAACCAGGGTAGAGTCGTATACAAAGCTCGATTCCCTTCCCAATCGACGTTTGGCGAGGTCGACAGATGCTGTTGGAGACTCGCCGGTAAATAGGGGCGGGCGCCGCCGGTCGTGCGGGAGGAACTCAAAAGGCCAGTTTGCATGATGGTGTAAGAGAACCCAGGGGCATTCGACTGAAAGGTGAATTTGGCCGAAAAGCACCCGTAATGAAGCGTACATGCTTGGCAAACATGGGGCATCCACCACATGAATATCAAAAGGAGTCGGAAATAGACTGAGCCCCATCGCCGGTAACGATGACATCAAGACGTGGATGTAGGGCCCAATTTCTCTCCCAATACTCGCCTCCCAATCTCGCTTGCTGCTACCACATGTTTCCGCGTGAAATTGAGCGAAGTTTGGTTTGGTTGCAGCACGGTGGAAGATGCATTTCGCGGATCGAGGTGTCGGTATTCGGCGTTAAAAGAACCCGGTTTCATTGTCGTGGACGAAGGAGTTTCCAAGGTTGAGTTGAGGAATCGGGATGGCGAGAAGGGAGGCCGGACGCGAACACCCTCCGAATGCGGAGGGACTTGTCGCCAGTTGAGAGGCCGGGCAAGAGCATCTGGGTGACATGCATTTGAAACGAGTCGGGGCAGAGTAAGGTTTTCTTGGGCTCTCGTAGACTTGTAGGATCGTATGGCGGGTTCTTGAATGTGGTCGCTCTTATTAGTAAAACTGGTTAGGGGACCCGGGCGTGCAGTAGCCGCTAGGGTCTGGTTCGGCCTTCACAAAAGGAAGGATACGGCTTCCTTTTGTCTAGTCGGGAACGTAACTGTTACAAAGAAGAAACGCAATCAATTTAAATTTTAAAATCAAAATAAGAGATTATTTATTGAAGAAAAGAAAAAAATAAAGTGTGTTGGAATTTACTGAACAGGTTCAATGGAACCGATCAAGAAGGACTGTTAAGGTAAATTGTCTCGATCCAATTCTTCGTGAATTCACATCGGCATGATTTCTTCGCAACCCGCGACGTCCGAGCTATAAATCAAACACATAAACAATAAGGTGTGATTTTACATGAGACATTAAGTAAATAGGCATATAATAGTATATAGGTATAATATAGTGTTTTTTGCCACTGTTAGTTTTTTGACTAATGCTGCGATTATGGTTCATAATAGCTTCGAAAGAAGATAGGGTTTTCTCACAGATGAGGAGATTAAGGGTTTGGTCGCCTATACCAATTGTTACAACCAAGGTGATTGATTCCAAGTATGAATTCAATTATGACACGTTCCAACTTCCGTCTTGAATTTGATTACTTAACACTAGATAAAAATTGTCAGAGAACAGTAACTTTAAAGTATAAGCTGAAAATAAAGGAAATTGAGGCTAAAGTAATACGTACATTTGAAATCTATTATTATAAATAATTAAAATAATATGTTTGGTTTGTGATACATAAATATCTTTTCATTTTACTTGTTTTAATAATGAACAACAAGTATAGTAAATTTTTATATAAATCATTTCCTTTCGTCACTAGAATTTTTGCAAATTGGGTATATCTTACTCATCAAATTTTCAATTTTTCCACAACTTAAATAAGAAATAGGCTAAAAATAGTTCTTGTCTGCTGTTTTTTTCATTACTTCGCCACGAAACTCTCTCATTAAAATCGCTACAATACAATTAATAATTTAAATGAAAAAGCACACACATAAAAATAATAGACCGAAATCACAAGGAAACATGTGTTCATATCTATAACAATGGACAAAATGTAGAGACAGCGATCGTATGCAAATTTAGGAATGGTACAAGTTTGTAATTGAAACCGCACAAAAACTAAAAAGTGGGTATTTTTGATGTCTAGTATGTGTATATATAGAAACAGGGTTTCACATTGATAAGGAACTCGAATGAGGGTGAGAAAAGAAGATGGGAGGATTTGTCACCATTAGCGATACATGGATACGGCTGAGGATCCTCGAGGTCACCAACAGGAACTTCGCCTGATAATCCTCGTCTCGCTTCCACCGATTTGAACCTCTGGAGTACTCGTCTGGGCGTTCCGGCTCAGAATCTCCTAAAACCGTTCTCTTTGCAACGCGTGGTGTCTTTCATTCCTCAAGAACTGGAAAGTCTCGGCTGTCGCAAAGCGGGCGGGACGAGCGAGAGAGGCCGGTTAATCACCATATGAAAATGGAGGGTTGCAAATCTGATGAATTTGTTGGGTGAGAAAAGATTTAACTCAAGAGGGTGATTTAACGTGAAGCAAGCGCTTATATAGGGAAGCATGTAGGTAACTATCACACAAAGACATAAAAAAAATTAAATAAATAATTTTTTTTTTTGACTTTTATAAGATAAAAAAAATAAAATAATTATAATTTAGATATGGTATTTTTTAACCTGAGACTAAAAAGTTTATTTTATCTTTTTGTGACTATTTTAGTCCCAACCCATCTTCCCAAACGATACCTTAATGATGGGAAGTAAAATGCATTTAATTTAATGTTCATTTGGTAATACCATAAATAAGTTACTTATGAATTTATTGACTGATTCAATTCATATCATTTCTCTATTTTTTTATATGTTTTTTTATTAAAAGAAATTTTAAAAAAGTCAAAAAATTAATTTTTAACTTATTTTCTAAAATAAGTCTTATTTAATTTTTATATTCCAGAGATTACTTAACTTGAATTAGGCTATGTTTGGCATGTGAGGTTGGGATTATTTAAGTCACAAAAAGATAAATTAGACTAAAAAATTAATAAGACAAAATATCACATTCATGTCATAATTATTTTATATTTTCTCTTACAAAAATTAAAAAAATTAAAAAATTCATCCCAAATAAAACTTTTTAACTCAAATTAAAATAATAATAATAATAATAAAAAAAACTAAAAACTAAAAAATTCAAAAAAACCAACACACTTCTAAAACAAAATCTTCATCAACGAACCCAGTGAGAGGGTTGGCTTTGACAAGGTCAAAAAGTGTACCCTCATTTATCATGATTCAATTTTTTATTTTTATTTTATTATCATATAAATAAATTATGAAGTACCATTCTTTATATCTTCCCTAGATGTATTATTCTTAAAATACTCATTTAGATTTAATTAAATAACTTCAAAATTTGATTTCTCACATAATTTTTTAAAAATATTTCAACTGTTAAATCTTTTTGTAAATTACCATATAATATGATTTTTAAAATTTTTTTATGGGTCACCTTGCCAACAACTCTTACAAATAGTAATTTTATATTTTTAGAAAGGAAAATGATTTCCAAATAAAAAAATTTATACAAAAAATCTTACAAAATAATGTGACAGTAACATTTCGAAAATTATAAGTCACTTTAATAACCCTTTTAATTTAAAATAAATAGATAAACATCGGCTACCTCATTTAATATGATTTTTTGTTTATATGTTGTCCCTCTTTTACGAAATATTAAGTTGTAGTGTTAAAAATAAAATCATGAATAGTCCAATTGCATGTGAACCCAAGATCTGTTCAATACTGTTACACTTTTTCAACAACTTTTCTTCAAAGTTTAACAAAGCAGAAACAAAGACATGAATAGGGATAGACAAAAAAGCAGAAACAAAGACATGAATAGGGATAGACAAAAACGTCACTGACAATTACATCATCAGTACAGATTATTTGAATCTACACAAAGCCAAACCTATTGCAAATTCAAAAAAAAAAAAAAAACACCTTCTAAAGCTCCAAGAAGGCTTCTAAGGACCTCAACTCAAAGGTGATCAAGAAGAAAGAAAATTGCATGTTCTTCTTTTAGGTCCATTGTCCCAGCTGCATGTTCGGTAGGTAGCTAACCAAATGTTTCCGGTGTTTTTTTTTTCCATGGAGTTGACCTCAATCTAGAAGAAGAAATTATCTAATAAATCCGACCTATAACATAGATGATATGATCACTTTATCCAGTTCTTTTATTTGTACACAATTCGATTACAGAATCAGAGTAAAATCTTGCATATCGAAATATGTGCACTTAATTTTATTTTATTTTTTTTATTTTTTTTCAGCAAACAAGATTATTATGTTGATTGACTACATGATCACTAGAGCAAACCTACTAAATAATTTCTCCTCACTCAGGTCGAGTCATTCAATGTCGTCGTTCCGGGGTCCAATTCGGTGCAGCAGGGCTAAAATGCCTCGAGATCACTCTAGCATCAAGGAGCTCCATAATAGGTGTGAAGGTAACACATCTAGGAACCTTATACTGATTGATAGAAGCACCTCTAGAAATAGCATAGTCCATTAGCTCCTCAAAAGTACCATTCTTCACAACCCTTATCTCAAGAGGTCCGATTGAATTATCTGCGGCCCGACCCTGTCGGTAAACCGAGTTCATTGACTCTTCTATAGCCAAACAACACCAATCCAAAACCTCCCGGGTCGGCCCGTTTTCCGGATCCTTCACCATCAATTCCCAATAAATCACATAATGACCCGGTATAGTATTGGAATCGGCATAACTCGTGTACTCTACCACGCTCGTTTTAAACTCGCGCAACAGTAAACTCGCGCTCTCAATCGCGCTCTGTAACTCGGATTCGTCGGTCTTGTCCGAGTCGATACTCAGCAACACGTTCTTCCTCCTCACAAATTTAAAACCGGGGGCCGAGTTATGAAACCCAGTGACTCGGAGAATGTCTCCGACTCGGTACCGACACAACCCAGGGTAGGTAGTAATAACAAGCTCGTATTCCTTCCCCAATTCGACGTTGGCGAGGTCGACGAGATGCTGTGGAGACTCGCCGGAGAAAGGCGGCGCCGCCGGGTCGTGGGGGAGGAACTCAAAGTAGGCCATGTTTGGCATGATGGTGTAAGAGACCTCCGAGGGCTTCGACATAGGGTTGAGATTTAGGCCGAAATAGCACTCCGAAGAAGCGTACATTGTGCAACATTGGGGCAATCCACCACTGTAATAATCAAGAGTCGGAATGTACTGAGCCATCGCCCCGGTAACGATGACATCAAGGTACTTGGTGTTAGGCCAAATTCTCTTCAATATGCCCTCCCAATTCTCGCTGCTGCTACTACATTGTTTCGCGATGAAATGAGCGAGTTCTGTGTTTGGTTGCAGCACGTGGAAGATGCATTCGCGGATCGAGGGGTCGGTGATTTTAGGGTTTAAAGTCCCGGTTTCAATGTCGTGGACGAGGAGTTTCCAGTTGAGTTGGAGGAATCGGATGGCGCGAAGGAGGCCCGACGCGAACACCGCTCCGATGCGGAGGACTTGGTCGCAGTTGAGAAGGCCGCAGAGCATCTGGGTGTACATGCTTTGGAACGAGTCGGGGCAGAGAATGGTTTCATTGGGGCTCGTGTAGACATTGTAGGGATCGTATGGCCGGGTCTTGAAGTGGTCGCTCTTATAGTAACTGGTTAGGACCGGGCGTGCGAGTAGGCCGCTAGGGGTCTTGGTTTCGGCCTTCACAAAGAGGAAGTATAGGCCCTTGCCTTTGTCTAAGTCAGGAACGTAACTGTTACAAATGAAAAGCAATCATTAAAATTTAAATCAAATAGAGATTATTTATTTGAAGAAAAGAAAAAATAAAGTGTTGAATACTGACAGGTTCATGACCGGCATCAGAAGACTGTAGAGTAATTGTCTTCGATCCAATTCTTCGTGAATCATCGGCATGAGTTTTCTTTCACCCGCGGAAGTGCCGGAGCTATAAATTCAAACACCATAATTAACATATAATGGTTGTTGATTTACATGTATGCATGTAGTAAAAGGTGCAATATATATATATATATACATATATTTTTTGCCACTTTTAGTTTCTTTGACTAATTGTCTGCTGATTATGGTTTCATAAATAGCTTAGAAAAGAAGATTAGGGTTTCTCACATGAATGAGGAGATTAGGGTTTTGTCGCCTATATCCAATTTTACGAGATCCACAAGGTGATGTGATTCCAAAGTATGAATCAGATATGGACAGTTCCAACCTTCCCGTCATTGATTTTGATTAGCGTTAACACTAAAGACTAAAAATTGTCAGAGAACATGTACTTTAAAGATTAAAGCTGAAAAATTAAAAGATTGAGGATTAAAGTATAACGGTATCATTTGGAAATCATTATTATAACTAATTCAAAAATAAATTATGGTTTTGTTTGGATAAATAAATATTTTTCATTTTACTTGTTTTATAATTAATGAACAACTAAGGTATTATGTAAATTTTATATACAACAATTTCCTTTCTCACTAGATTTTGCTAATTTGGGTAATATCATTTCTCATCAATTTTCAATTTTTCCACAATCTAAAATAAGAAATAGCTAAAAATAGTTCTTTCTGCCTTGTTTTTTTTTCATTCTCCCACCAAACTCTTCCATTTAAAACTGCTACAAGTACAATTATTAATTTAAATTGAAAGCACACACATAAAAAAAAGTAGACCGAAATCACTAAGATGAAACATTTTGTTCATATCTATAAATGTGAACAAAATGTAAGAGATCAGCGAGTCCTGTATGCAAATTTTTCAGTGATGGTACAAGTCTTGTAATTTGAAACCCACAAAACTAAAAAGTGGGTAATTTTTTTATGGGTTTCTAGTATTGTTGTATGTATAGAAACTAGGGTTTTACCTTGTGAGGAACTCCGAGATGGGGTGAGAAGAGAAGATGGGAGATTTGTCACCATTAGCGATACGTTGGATATCCGGCTGGAGATCCTCGTAGGTCACCACAGGAACTTTCGCCTTGAAAGTCTCTCTGTCAGTCGCTCCACCGAGTTTGAACCTCTGGAGGTACTCGGTCTGGGCGTTCCGGCTCAGAATCTCCCTCAAAACCTTCTCTTGCACTGCGTCGGTGTTCTTTGTCATGTCCTCAATGAACTGAAGAGCCTTCGCGTCCTTGTCGCAAGCGGGAGGGACGAGCGGGGATGAGAGGCCGGAGTTAATCACCATGATTGGAAAACTTGGAGGTGTTTGCGAAATCTGATGAATTTTGTTGGGTGAGAAAGATTTTAACTCAAGAGAGGTGTGATTTAACGTTTGAGAGCAAGCTGCTTTATATAGGGAGCATGTATGGTAATCTTACACACCAATGACATAACAAAAAAATAAAATAAATATTATTTTATAATAATCTCTCATTACCATAATACCGTTAGGCATTCTCCACCAAATGGTTCAATTTTAGCAGAAAAAAAACTTTAAAAATGAAATAATTATTCAATAATTGTGGAGTACCAGTATTATATGACATTGTCTGTGATGTTTTAAATCAATCACACAACTTAAAATTTTACTGGTGAAACATACTTATATTTATTCTATAGTTAGGAGACGAAAAATAATTTTATTTTATTTTTATTTTATGAGAATACTACGGTCACATTATATGATATTCTGGAAAATTCAATAATTTTCTCTGCATAATAATTTTTTTGATTTTTCAATTGTTAGAAAACTAAACAAAACATTCCAGACTACTTAATAATTTTCTGAATTTATTTACAGAATATAATAGTATGGTTTCTTGGGGTACAATCATTTCTAATAAAAAAAAAAAATCATTTAGTGTGTTTGGTTTCAGTTTTTTGAATTCAGTTTTTTAGAATTTGAGTTTTTTGTTTTTGTGTTTTTATTTTTTATATTTAGTGAATATTTTTAAAATTTTAAGTATTTTTTTTTATTTTTTTAAATGCACCTTACTTAGATATATCTAAATAGTAAATTTTTTTTGAAAAATATTTTAAAAAGTTAATAAATACACAAAATACGAAAAATGTACTGGATTTTTTTTTATATTTTTGATAATTAGTGATTTTTTTTAAAAAAAATTCATAAATATTATACTTTTAGGTATATTTATGTTAGGTATATCTAAAAATTAAAAAAAATTAGTTAAATTATTAAAAAAATTCAGTAAAAATAAAAAAAAAATACGAAAACGAGAAAAACAAAATTTTTTGACAAATAAATTATGAAAACTAAAACCAAACAATATGATTATTTTCTACCATTGTTGAGGTGCTTACTGATATTTTTTGTTGCAAATCATTTTCTGAAAATTTAATCAATTTTTTTAATCAGAAATTTATCCTAAAAAATGATGTGCCAGATTAAATTTAGACCATATATTTTAATTGGAAATGTAATTTTAAGAATAATTTCTTTTAAATAAATAGTAATATAGGGAGATAAGAATTTGTTATTTTGGGAATAGTTGTTAAAGTTGCCCACGTCAGGAACCACGTAATACTCCGACGTTGAGGACCGCGTGGTGTAAGATATCATCTTGGAAGCAAGGACTTTGGCTTCCCAACTCGCTTAAAAGCAATTTTTTTAATTTATGGTTTTATTTTTTAAAAAATTTTACTTTTTTATTTTACACATAATATAAATACACTTAAAAAGTAAAAAAAATTATACATTTTTTTTTAAAATTCACTAAATACCAAAATATAAAAAAAATACAAGAATTTAGTACATTTTTTTATATTTTTATGTATTTATTAATTTTTTTAAATATTTTTTCATAATTTTTTTATTTTTTAGATACATCTAAGTGATGTGCATCTAAAAAAATAAAAAAAAATGTTTAAAGGTTTAAAAATATTCACTAAAAACACAAAAAACACAAAAACTAAAAAATTTAATTTTCAAAAAATTTAATCCAAAAAACTCAAACCAAACACACTGATTATTTTTAAAAAAATTTATGTATTTAATTTTTTTTTAAAATTAAAATTAATTTTTAACTTATTTCTTAAAATAAATATTTGTCAAATAAATATTTATCAAAAGGATAATTATCAGAGTACTGTTGTGCATCGACCTCGTCAAAATATTTTTGTCGGGGAAATTGTATGACTAGTAGGGGACAATGTGGGCCCAGATGACGTCATCATCAGTGTAACAGAGGGGACATGTGGGTCATATGTTGTCGACAGGTCATCAGGATGGAGTTCGTAGATTTTTGTCGTGTGCCACAGAACCCTCACGGCTCTTTTCGAACAACGGCAAACCGCCTGCAGGCGAAATACGCAGTTTTTAAGGTAAATTACGCTTTCCCCCTTTATATTTGATTTTTTTATTATTTTATTTTGGTCTATAACTTTTTATTTTATTTTGATTCTTTATATTTTAATTTTTTTTTAAAATTTATTCCAAAAGATAATTTATGTTTAAAATAGACAAAAAAATCATACATTAATAATTATGTGATATAATAATATTTTATTATATATCATATCATATTTTTTATATTATGTGATAATTAATGTAACATTTTATATTTAAACAAAAGTTAATTTTAAGAGTAAATTGAAAAAAATTTGAAACAGGAACGGTCAAAGTGGAATTATTTTTCAAAAGCTAAAGTGAAAAAATAGACAAACATAAAGAGGGTAAAATGTAATTTGTAGAAAATAAAATACAATTTAATTTATATTTTGTGTAGTTGAGATTTATTTTATGTAATGTAGTTTGAACTTGAAATAAATTATATTTTTTATGATTTATTTTTGTAAATCTAGCATTATTATTATTATTTACATAGGGAATCTAATATTATTGTTAAAAAAAAAAAAGAAGAAGATAACGGTTATTGTACGCAACAATCACGTATGCACACACTCAAACTATATAAATATAAGAAAGAAAGAATTATATCTTTGTCTGTTTTTTTGGTTACATCATATGCGTAAATGTTTGTGTTTAGTTAGACAATTTTTAATGGTTACTCAAATTTTTTATTAAATTTAAATTTGATAAAAAATAAATTTTTTTTTTCTAACGATTTTATCAAATATGTATTAAATTGAAAATTTTACTCTTTTTTTTTATCAAACTGAGAATTAATGTGTCTTTTATCAAATTATTGTTCAATGCCGTTGCTGGATGTCCCTTCGGATGATTACCTCAAGGTAAAAATTTGTGAAAAATTATACTGGTCGGTCGTCCGCCCGATCGACTAGTGATTTGATAAAATTCCAAAACCCTCTGTTAGAGCACTTGAAATCAAATAAAATTTTTACTCAAACTTGGTGAAAAAATTAATGCACCGTTGAAGATGCTCTTACCGATTAAAAAAATTGTTGATGAAAGTGTTACGTGAGTGCATCTTTATAACTTTAAGATTTTATACAACTTTAACAAAATAAAATTTTAAATTTTAATTTTATCAAAAAAAGTTAGTGAAACATCTGTCTCCAACTTTGGATAGTAGGAGAGGTTCAATATATTTTTTTATTAGTTAAGATCCCTCAATAATATTATTAGAGAAATTTCAACTCATCACAGAAAAATTTTAGTTCATCACAAAATTTTTCTATGAAAAAAGAAATTTCTCTATGAAAAATGAAATTTCTTTATGAGGAGTTAGAAACTTCTCTGTGAAAATGTTGAGGGATCTCAATTACTATATAAATATTGCATGTCTTTTATTTTATAAAATCCTAATATCATGAACCTCAAACTAAAAACCCTTTTTATCAATTTAAATTATAATTTTTTATTTATTTTCAATCAGCTATTTGCATATATATTTTTTTAAAGTAAAATTGACCAAAAAAAAAAAAGAAGATATTTTAGACTTTTAGACATTTTATGTACACTTATCTTGAGTTTAATGATTAAAATAATTTTCTTCATTTTTTCATCGGTTTTACTTAACGAAAACAAGTTGATTATTTAGATTGAAAATAAATCAAAAAATTACAATTTAAATTGATAAAATTAAAAATTCATAACTTATAAGAGTGAAACTGTGAGATTTTTTTTTTATAATTTTTCCAAAAAAAAAATTATAGAGAAAGTATTATGTTACTTGAGTACATCTTTAATTATTTAGTAGCTAAATGGTTAGTTAATTTTATATTTTAATAAAAATATTGCTCTGATGATGCAAATGGCTATGTTTCTATATTTTTTTCCTCATAAAAAGTCAGGTAACTGTTAGTTTCATCATGCGGGATGTAAAAATAAAGAATATGTCAAATTTTAATAGTAGCTAAATATCGTGTCAATTTTGACACAATTTTGAAATGCAAAAATATAGCACAAAGTTTAGTTAGCTATTGAAGAGCTCTAAATTTAGTTCCAAGTTCTTTTTTTAGTAATAGAAAATGCTTATCACACCTCTGACTCCTAGTTTTTTTTTTTTTTTTTTTGAATAATCGCGACGCTCTAACTAGGTAATGTAGAGTATTGCTCTCTCTCTCCAATGTAAAAGAACTTGACGTGGGTAGGCTCATAAAGGCCATAACCTATCATGAACAACCCAAGCCTACCATTTAGGGCCCAGTACATAACCCAACTGATAAGGGCCAGCATCATCTAGAAGTCAACATGGCATGAAGGACCAATGATATTCAGACACGTGGCAGGTAAAAGGCAAGCCACATCAGCGGATAAAGATCTGCAAAGTTATTGCCACTGCACATCGCCATTAATGCAGCCCCTCACAGCATTTATTACGACAACACCTCTCCGTCGGGACAGCACGCCCTCACCCTGAACAAGGTAAGCTACAGCATAAACTTTTGGCCAAGGTGACAAGTCGGAAGGGACAACGAAATGATTACCAAAGGATATAAGCAAACGTTGAAGACAAGAAGAAGGTTAAGCTTTTCTATCTCTAATCTATCTACATATTCCACTCTCTCTAACTTGCTTGTCGGAGGGTTCGCTGGGGTACTCTCCGTTCCCCGTTGAACTCTTGTGCAGGTTTTTTAGTGGGCTTGGTCATTCGGACATTAGGCTTGAAGAGCGTGGATCAGTCCAACCTGTCCTACCATCAAAAACTGCATCATCAGTTGGCACCGTCTGTGGGAACGCTTTACTCCTCGCGCCAGTTGCGTTCATTGTCGCTGGAGACCCTGTCCCAATAACCCTTTCTTGATACCTATCAAAGTGTATGGTCACGACTAGATCCATGGCTTCTCACCAAAATGCCGCCGACCACCAAGCCGACCCCCCCAATCCAAACAACCCACCACAGTATTTCATCGAGCTTACCAATAGCGTTAACCGCATGGC